CAGCAAAGGTCCTGGAAAGGTCACCGGACCTGCAACCTTTCCACTCTACACATAAAGCTGCCTTAAGGCTAGAGGCAACTGAGAATAGCTAATAGGTTTTAGGAAGACTCTAGGACAAGATGGAATGGGACAACTCTGACGGCGGAAGGAGCGATCGTACCGTACTGTTTCCGTGGGCAGAGGGCGTGGCAGAAGCCGTCTTTTCTGTAAACCGGGTCCTAGAGTAAATATGACTGTGCTTTCCGACTGCACATCCTGTCTGTATGTTGGTCCACTTTCCCGGCCTTTCCAGGAATCAAGTGAGCTTCCTAACACCCAGTTAGCAAATTCCTTTCCTGCGTAAATTTGTCCTTCTGCAAACTCTGCCCCCTTGAGGCAGGGCATCATTTCCACGCAACTCTCCTTGATGGCAACTTCCAGGCTGCTTACTGCCCCATGAGTTTGTAACTAAAGTCCTTAGCTTTCCTTTTCTCCTCAGAGAAGTAGGATTTTTGTACTGGGAGAAAAACCCTAAAGATTACAAAGCGCAAGAAACAGCTCTTTAAGAGAGCAAGTTACCCAGAATCCTCGAGCAAACTACCCCTCACATTTCATTGGGCAGAAGTGGGTCACGTGCACGTAGCTTAAACCAATCAGCGGCTACGCTTAAGGATGAGGGTGTTAAAACTCTTTTTGAATATTAGAATTATCTTGGCTTCTGTTTAAAAACTTTTTAGACCCACTCCACTACCTAGAAGCAAGATTTAATTGTCAGAATTCTGGCATTGGCATTTAAACAATATCCCCAGATAATTTTGATTTCCAGCAAGGACTGTGTAGCACTGATTGGGTCCAACCCCAGTCCCACCTCTGCCCGTTTTACAAGATACCAAAGAGATGCTTGACTAAAGGATTATGCATATACTTTCACTTTAATGGAACACACACACACACACACACACACACACACACACACACACACACTTTATTAAACAAACCGGTTGCCATCAAGTAAATTCCATCTAAAGGTGACTGTATAAAGTACAAAGGCTCATAGGGCTTCCAAGGCTGCAATCTTCACAGCAGTAGACTGCCCTATCTTTGCCCCAGTGGAGGGGCTTTTGAGTGTAACCGTTTAGTTAGCAGTCATGTGTTCAGCCACTATGTCATCCCTTGCAGCTCAACAAATCAAAGTGAATCTCAAACTTGAGTGTATCAGAATCTCTTGGCGCTGCTTAGAACCAATGCAGATGGCTGAACTCACCCACAGAGTTTCTGATCCACTAGGCTTAGGAAAGGGAACGAATAATTAGCATTTCTAATAAATTCCCACTAAAGGCTTGAAGCCCCTTGTCCTGGCACCACACTTTGAAAATCATTCATAGCTAAGCGCTTGGACTATGGAACTAACCTGTCTTGGTAATTCCCACCTCTACTTCTACAGACAGCTCTGGTGGCCTAGTGGAAAGGCGCTGTGATGCCAACCTGAAGATGTGTGTTTGAATCCACTGGCTTATCTATGGGAGAAAGGTAAGCAATCTTCCTCCATGCTAGTTTCGACTAGATGGTGATACCCAAGGACGACAACAAGTTTTTTATACAATGAAGTGAGAATTTGGGCAAATTAATTCATGAATCTATGAAATAGTGGCAGTGAGAGTAACTTAGACTTATTGCTGGGAATGAATGCTTCTAATAAAAGCAAATCACTTAGGACAGTGTCTAGGCCATAGTAAGAGCTTAAGTGGGTTAGCTGTTATCATACATTCTTTCCTGAACAATCATTTACAGAGTGTTTTGAGTCAGAGTCCCTGGGTGATGCAAATAGTTAAAGATATTTAGCTGCTGACTGAAAGATTAGAAGTTCAAGTATACCCAGGGGTGCTTTACAAAAAGACTTCGTGATCTATTTCTGAAAAATATGCCACTGAAAATCTCATGGAGCACACGTCTACTCTGACACACATAGGGTCACCATTAGCCAAAATTGAGTCTAAGGTAACTGGTATTAACAGTTTTCTTTAACCTAGAACTGTTTCAGGCACCAGTACAGCACTGGAGAAGTTAAAGCCCATTCTCTAAAAATGTTTATAATCCACAGAGGGGACATACAATATACATAAACTCATAAATATATAATATCATGTCACACAGATGAACAGCAAGAGCACATACAGTCTTTTGAGAACGTATTCCAGCCTACTTAGAATCTTCCATTGCAAGGAAGTGGCAGTGTCATACTTTTAATGCAAAGGTCTTTTAGCAAGATGACTCTTACCATAGTGGCTGAATAAAGGCCAGATAATGGAATAATCACATCAGCTCCTATCTTAGATTTTACTTGAGAGAAAACAAATTGTATCAAGAACAAGATGGTGCTAGGAGGTGCTACTGCACTGGATGCTACCTTGTTTCATTTTATTGTGTATTAGAGTGTGACACACACAACCCCCCTAATATATGTATGTACAGATACTTTAAGAGAGTTTTGGTGGCTTAGTGGTAGGGTGTTGCACTGCCAGCACAAAGGTATACAATTTTAATCCACCATAGGGGAATGATAGACAATCTCCTCCTATGTGATTTGTTGTCATTGTGGTTGTGTACTTTCAAGTAAAAACTGACCCATAGCTGACCCTCCAGCAAGTTTTCAGAGGCAGTAAATCACATGGGAGGAGATAGCCCATTTTTTTCCTGTGGAGCAGCTGCTGGATTCAAAACTCTGAAAACCCTGTTGGAGAGTCAACTCTGAGTCAGTTCTTCGCAGCACGTGCAACAACAGCAATAGAATATGGAAAGTATGTAAAGCTTCCTCAGGATCTGATAAAACAAATAGCTGTACAAGGATTAAGCATAAACTGCAACACCTTTGAAACCAAACTCAGCCTGATCTGTGCTTGGGCGTTTCTCTACAGTGTACAGACCTGTAATACCTTCTGCGGTCACAAGAGATAAAACAGGAGGAAAGTGAGCTGAGAAGGAAGACCTCAGTATCACCAAGAAAGAATACCAGGAGTGAAGTGTAACCTTTCAGACCTAAGAAAACTTCCCAACACTGGGGAGGGCCAAGACCATGGAGATCTCCGCAGAACACGGGGCCAACAGCTGCTGAAGGAAACAAGGGAATTCTTCCAGAATTGACACAGAGAAAGGGCACTCTCTCCTGGAGCTGGTATCCTGAATTTGGTCTTCTAGCCTACTAAACTGCAAGAGAATTAATTCCTATTTATTAAAGCTATCCACTTAAGATCTCTGTTACAGCAGCATAACCTTTTTAGAGTAGATATCAGAGAAGGAGTAGGCGTCAATCAGCATGCTCAGCACAAACAGTCAGGAAATCAAAAGTCAAATTGCTTTAGGAAAATCTGCTGTCAGTGAGGAGCAAGGATGTCAGTCTAGAGACTAAGGTGCACCTGATCCAAGCCATGGTCTTTGCAATTACTTGCTCTATACATCAGAGAGCTAGACAATAACAAAGATGACAGAAGAAGAATGGACGCCTTTGAGTTGTGGTGCTGGAGAAGACATTGAACATACCATGGACTGCTAAGAGAACTAATAGGTCTGTCCTGGAGAGTGAAACCGAGCTGCAACATGAGGCAAGAATTTTGAGACTCCTGTCTTACATACTTTGGGCATGTTGTCAGGAAGGACCAGTCTTTGGAGAGCCATATCATGCTTGGAAGGGTAAAGGGACAACGCAGGTGAGGAAGACACGGAATGAGCTGGATTGACACAATAACTGGGGTTATAATGGTAGGTGTGTCAGAGACAGCAAGATTGGCTCAGTATAGAGCAGGGTTCATAGCTATTGTGCATAGGGTTGCTGTGAGTCATAGTTGACTCAATGGCACATAACAACATCAAACAAGGAGAGAAGCCACCCATTCAAGGATAAGTGAACAAAGTGCCATATATGTGTGACCTTGTAAAAGCTTGCTCAGGTAGATAGCAAGGGGGTAGGCTCCTGTTATGCCACAAGCCACATCTGACCTCCTTCCTTTGGATCTCTTAGCAGAGGACAAGATGCAGCCAGAGCTACCACGTATATTTGCCCACTATCCCACCTTTTTGCTTTGAAAACACCTGGCAGTGGTAGAATGAGGTGCAAAGAGCCCAGCAGTCACAGAAATCGGCACACAGCTGACCCGAGACTCTCATCCTCTCTACCAGGCTTGCCTTTCTCAGGATGTTGAAGAAACAGCATCAGTTACAACACTTAGCATGGAAAAATAGCAAAATAAAAGTGGCTCAGTTCTGTCACGTTGTTGTTGTTGTTATTGTTGATGGCCATCAGGGGAGGAACAAAAGGGCACGAAAATCTTCATATCAGTTCATATCTCCCTATCATAGAAACTGTTTCTCTGTTTATTAAATAGTCCTTCCACTTTGCATATGTTCACCAAGCTGGAAGTTTCTTTTCCCAGTTTCACTCTGGAGCCGTTTTCTAGAGGGTAGGTTTGGTCTCTGAATTTTGTTGGATGACGGATAAAGATTCTATCAACAGGCTAGCCTGGAATGGTGTTTGGTTTGGGATTGTTTCCAACTCCAAATATCCACCTCTTAACTTTGAGGCCAAAAGGAGTTGCGAGCCTTTGTCAGATGGACATCAATATTCAGGCACTGGCCATGTCTTTTGGAACTGTTTTGTCTTTGAATTGTTTTTGGTCTGTTAGGTTTCTGTTCCTCTGATCGGGAAATGTTTGAATCTTGGAGACGTGTCAGAGATGGCTGGAATTGGTTTTGGCCCTGCGACTCTCATTTATGATAATGATGACAGGCGGCTTGGCCTCCGCTCCTCTCTCTCTCTCTCCCTGGGCCGCGGAAGCCTCGCGTTCCACCGAGCGCGCCGGCCAGCGACTCTTGGTAACCTAGCAACCTGCCTTTCAACGCAAGGGGCGGGACCAGAGGCGGAAGTCGGAAGCTGGCCGGAAGTCTCGCGAGAGTGACTTTTCGCGCGAACTCCAAGTGCGAGGGTCTGGGAGACGGATTAGCTCTATTCTGTTTGTGCACGGCTTAGTGGTCTCGGTGACTTCTCTCTCCCCGCTATGGAGACCCCCGCATCCAAGGAGCAGCAGCAGCCCGCGGGAGCCAAGAGCAGGAATCTGCCCTGGTAGGAGGGGGCCTGGCTGCGGTGGTGGGGAGGGTCGGCCGCTGGGACGCGCTGGTGGCAGTGGGGAGGTCCCCGACTCCACGACCCGGGCCGAGGACACCTTTCTGCTTAGGACCTTAAGCCCTTGCAAACTCCACTTCTGTATCCAGATCCCCTTTGTCGCCTATGAAAGCGATTTTCACACCTTTTTGACAGCACCGGAATCTACCTAGCTTCTGACATCTTGCCTTTAAAAGCCTTCGTGTCTCTAGCTCCTCCTCATCTTTCTTGACAGCCACATTCTTCCTTGAGGTTACTTACCATTTCCTTAAATGCATACGTAATAAATAAGATAAAAAGCATTTGTCCCAGGTTATCGTCTGTTATTTCTTTCACAGCCATATTATTGTGTGCAGTGGAATCGGAACTGACCGATGGCTGACCCTCCCTCTTTCAGAGGCTATAAATTGCAGGGGAGGAGATTGCCCATCTTTCTTCCTTGGAGAAGCAGGTGGATTTGAACTGTGTGCCTTTCTTCAGTTTGGCAGTGAATTCTCTACCATTAGGCCGCGAGAGTTCGTTTTCTCAGTCATAGTCATTCTATTAGATGCTTGTGAATTGTATCTATTGAACAAGCAAGGAAGGTACATCTCAGAATGTAGGTCGCCAGAGCTCCCTTGCTTAAGGTAACAGAGCCAGAAAATAGCCTGGATCCTCATAACCATCCATTCTGTCACTTTGTGATGATGCATTGAAGACTATGATTGTGTTTGGCTTGAGTTTTCAAGACTCCACATTGTTCTTTCTAATAGTAACGTCAGCGGTCTAGTGGTAAGAAGCCGCGCGCCATCACAAAGGGGCGAGGTTCAAACCCATCAGCTGCTCAGCATGGGAAGGATGGACAGTCTCCTCCTGTGCAATTTACTGCTTCTGGAAACTTGCTGGAGGGGCAGCTATGAGTTGGTTCCAACATATAAATAGGTACATTGTTGTTTTGTGTTTACTATTATAGTAAGGAACACCTAACATATACTTACTTGATAATTATGATTATTATATACGTGCAATTCAGTGGCATTAAGATTATCGTACAGCCAACACCATCATCTTGTTCCAGACCTTTTTTCATCACCCCGAATGGAAATCCACACCTATTAAATAGTGTCCCACCCCTGTCTCCACTAGGCCCTCACCTACAGCTACCTACTAACTTGTTTTTCTGCCTCAGACGGTCACTCTTCATGGGATATTTGCCAGTTTTCCTCTCTAGGAGCAGCCTGGTGGGTTTGAACTGCTGACCTTTCACTTAACAACATAACACATAATTACTAAGCCACCAGAACCCATTTGCCTATTTTAAATATTTCACATAAAGAGTCATATAGTGTGTAGCCTTTGTGTTTGGCTTTTTGACTTATTAGGTGCCTTCAAGTCAACCCTGACTCTTAGCAGTTGTCTGTACAACAGGGAGCTCAGTAACCTAGTGGTAAGGAGTTGCACTGCCAACCCAAAGGCAGGCATTTCAAATCCACCGGCTGCTTGCTGCAGGGGAAGGAGATGGACAGTCTCCTCCCATGCGATTTACTGCCTCTGAAAACCCACTGGAGGGTGAGCTTTGAATTGCTTTTGACCCAGCAGTCTATAATAACAACAGTGTTCAACAGATCTAAGCTGTGCCCGATCCTTTGCTATCCTTATAATCGCCACTGTACTCAAGCCCTTTGCTGGACTCACTGTGTCAGTCCTTGAAGTCTTCTTCTCTAACTCTCCACCTTTCCAAGCATGATGTCCTTTTTCAAGGACTGGACTTTGGCTTAGCATTAATGTTTTCAAATGTCTTCTATATCCTAATATGTATCAGTACTAGATTTCTTCTTTTTTTTTGTAATTTTTATTTTATTTTAATAATTT